GAGACGCCAGCCCAAACCCAGCCGCTTCCCGGGGCCTAAAGGGAGACGCTGCTGAAAATCAGGGATCAGGACCACTGGTTATTTCCCCCCCCCTCTATCCCGGAGCTCAGCATATTGTCATGCTGCTCCTGCTCCAGCAATGGCAGCACATACCAAAAAAAACCCGACCAAGCAAGGAGAAGGAGAAAAGAAATGGCACAAAAGCCTCTCGGAGTCGAGGAGGCTGCTGGCAGCTGGTGCCTGTGGCTGAGGAAGCTCACTCAGCTGCTGCCCTCGGGCTGGCTGGGCCCCAGCTGACCCCACAGCACTGCCTGTCCCCAGCCACCCTGTCCCCAGCCACCCTGTCCCCAGCCACCCTGTCCCCAGCCACCCTGTCCCTGCCTGCACCCTGCCCCTCCAAGCCCCCCACGCTGCTTCACCCACCCTTGCCGCCTCTTTTCCCTCTTTAGTCCTTTTCCCCCTCTACTTGTAAGCACCATTTTTTCCTCCTTTTTCTCAGCCAAACCATTCCAGACAACTTTCTTGTCCTAAAAATCATCAGGAGAGAGAAAAAAAAAAAAGGCAGATTTCTGGGCTTTTTGGGGGGTGCCAGCGTGGAGTGACATTTCTGGAGGCTGCAGCTGCTGCTGGGGAGCTTTGGACCTGCTGTGCAGCACCACTTTGCACCCAGGCACTGCTTCCCCACCAGCTCTCTCCCTGTGCTCTGCCTGCACCAACGTGGGTGGAACACTTAAAGAAATGGAGTTAAATTGCTTTCCCATGGGGAGGAACCGGGGGAAGCGTGGCAGGGCCCTCAGCACCTGGGGGGAGCTGGGGGATGATGCACTGCCAGCTGGGTGTGGGTGTTCTGCAGGATGAGATGAACTTCTGAGTGATTCCCAGAGCCTTGGCCCCAGCCAGCCTTACCAATGGGATCTCTGCAGCATCCTGAGGGCTTTGCTTTGCTTTTCCAATCAGTGAAATGTTCCCATTGGACTGTGGTCCAGGATTATCCTCCTCCTTTCTCTCCAGCTTGATGTTTTCCCATGGGGATCTGGACAGGGCAGGTCCCTGCCTGCACCCTTCATTGCTCTTTTCTCCTTGCAGCCCCTTTCCAGCAGCAGAGCAGCCTGAAGTGCCACCAGGCAGGAGCCAGAGATGACCAAGGAAGAAGACCTACCAGACTGGAACTCATCCAAGGAGTTTTATGAAAAATATGAGCCGAAGGAGGTTTTGGGCAGGTAAAGCCTGTTTTTTGCAAACTGTGGTTTCACCTACTCCAGTAGCCAATAGGAACAGCATCCCCTGGGAATTGGATATGAACGGGGCCCATAACAGCACAGGGTTAAAAATAGCTCAAAGGAGCACTTCCCATCAGCTCAAAATCTGTCCCATCACGAGAAGGTGAACACAAAACTCACTATTACACGAAGATTCCAGCAGGCCCAGGCGCTGGGGAAGGCTGTGAAGTTGGGCTGGGGGGGGGAGGGATGGAAGCCCCCATCTGTGTGTGTTGCCCCTGGCAGGGGGG